ACTGGAGTTTTAATAAGTCATAGTTTGACAAAGTGAAACAGCACAGACTCATCAAGTCCACCAGGGGCACAGGCTCCCAAGTCCTGTCTGGTGACTCAGCCTTCTGTAGAACCACATACACCCAGAGAACAAACATTCTAGAAACGCAGAAGCACAAAGGGGATAGTTATTAATGCAAAATAGAAGAAATAATCAATGCAAAACTAAGAGTTGAAGCACCAGCAAGATGGCTCAACAGATAGACCTGCTGCCAAGCCTGACCACCTGCAGATGCCCGGAACCCACATGGTAGAAGGAGAGAACCGGCTCCTGCAAGCTGTCCTCTGCCCTCCGCATGCGTGCTGTGGCACTCCCTCTCACAACACAGTGAGCAAATAAATAACTTTTTCAGAGTTGAAAGTGAATAATGGGATCATTTGCTTCATAAAACTGATGGCTAAAAAACTGGTTGCAGTAATGGGAAGCTGAGGCAGGAGGATGGCTAGAGCCCAGGAGCCAAAGGCAATCCTAAGCAACATTCTGAGACCCTGTCTTAAATAGAGAACGGTAGGGCTGGGCCTCTGTAGAATGTTTGCCTAGTATGCACAAAGTCCTGAATTCTATCCCCAGCACCACAGAAACTGGATGTGGTGGGACATCCTGCATTCCCAGCAGGAGGGAGGCAAGAGCAGGAGGATCAGAAAGGTTCAAGGTTGTGCTCCACTACACAGAGAGTGTGAGCCTCTTGTAGAGTGGACATGGCCAATAAATAGTATTCAAAAGATCTTAAACCTTTTAGTAAGGATGCAGAATAAGATGGTGAGTGACAGATGAGGTAGAGACTGTCAGAAAAGATAAACCAGACAATGTTATATGTTTCATATGTGGTAGCTAGAACATAGCCTAGCATTGACCTGGGCCTCTGTTGTAGCGTAGGTGTGCCCCACCATGCCTGGCTCAGAAATCTCCCTTTCTCTTAGATTAGGCAGACTTCTCCACTCTGACAAACCGTGACGGTTGTCATGCATGGTGGCTCATGCCTAAAATCCCAGCATGTGGAAGCTTGAGACAGGATGACCACAGAAAATTCCAAACAAGCCTATCTTACTGTTAGGAATATTTTCCTAACGCGAGCTCTCTGCCGATGCATAATCCCAATCAAGCCAGATCAAAACAAGCCAAATTAAGAAATATCCAGGTTTAATAGGAGTTCTGCGCTCTCGGGTGGGGGGCCACGCAAATGCAGCCACCGGGAGGAAGAAAAAGAGACTACACGTTCCTCTTTTGGGAGTTCACTTAAATGCTCTTGGGAGTGGTCCTGACCTCCCCCAGGAAGGGGTCAGAACCTGGCCTGTTGGGATTTGGAGTCCAGAGTGCTAACTCTCAGAGTCAGGGGGCTAGGATAGATGCAAGGGGCTGGGGCCTAAAGCTCCCAACTTAACACTTACATTGAGACCTTGTCTCAAAAACAAAACTTCAGAAACAAAGCGACAGTAGCAAAAAGCCCACAACCGATACACTTTTTTAAATGTTTGTTTTTATTAATTATGTCTCCTAATGCAGGGGTCTGTATCTGGTCTGGACACCTGGTCTCTTCCACCCTCCGCTCCTACAGTTCCTTTAAGTCCCTGGAAGGGACCCGGGAATCCCCTCAGGGGCCTCCCCTTCCCAGTTCCAGAGACCTTCAGTGGGCTGAGAGGCCCAGGAGCTGCAGCCTCTGGGGACCAACGGGCAAAGGAGTTCTCCCTGGGTTTGGCCCCCCAAATGGGAGATCTTTCTGGAATAAGCACTCCAATACCAGTAAGAGTGAAGAGAGGAGATCCGACCGAAGCCGGGATGGCTCACAGAAGGCTTTGGTTCCCTGTCCCGTTTGTATTTCCATTTTATACTCTGAAAGCACAAGGTGGGACTGACAGGCCAGCAAGATTTTGCAGGATCATCAGCAGATTGTTAGGTTGTTAAGGGCAACGGCCCATTGTCTCAGCTAGTTCTCCGTGTTCTTCAACTATTTAAATGTGTTCTCCAGGCATGGCTCGGCCATCTTTGTACTAGTTGGAGCACACTGCTGTTTGTTTTGCCAAGATGCAGCCACACAGAGTGACTGGATCCATTCTCTCCATGAGTTCAAGTGCACTTCACCTGCGAATGGATGAACTGTAGCGATCGAGTCAACTCACTATGATTCAGCAAGAAAACTATCATGTCCGCACATGCCCCATCCCTTTGCCCAGTGATGCTCACCCACCTCCAGCCCCTGGCCATCCTTCACCTGGTCCCTCCTGTGAGTTTCGGCTTTTTCTCAGTGTCATGGACATGACACTGCAGTTCACCTCTCTTTGGATCTGATTTGTTCCTACTGGAGAGGATGTAGGAATTCCTTCCACACTGTTGGTGGAAACAGAATTCTCTGCCTTTCACATCTTAGGAGACTAATTTAAACAGCGCCTCGGTATATACATCAGGTTCCTTTGAAGTCACAATCCTCTTGCCTCAGCCTCCAGAGTGCTGGGAGTCTAGACATGTTACCATTATGCTCAGCTCAATTTTCTTTTTGCATGTGTATATGGTATCATTAGTGTGTGTGTTTGCATGTGTGTATGTACCCATGTGTGTGCATTTTGCATATGTGTGTGGAAACTGTGTGTTTGCATGTGTGTGTGGTACCCACATGTGTGTGTTTGCATGTGTGTGGTACCCATGTATGTGTTTGTATGTGTTTGTATGTGTGTGTGGTACCCATGTGTGCGTGTGTTTGTATGTGTGTGTGGTACCCATGTATATGCATTTGCATGTATATGTGGTACCCATGTGTGTGTTTGTATGTGTGTGGTACCTATGTATGTGTGTTTGCATGTGTGTGGTATCTATGTATGTGTGTTTCATGTGTGTGTGGCACTATGTATGTGTGTTTGCATGTGTGTGGTACCCATGTGTGTATGTTTGCATGTATGTATGGTACCTATGTGTATGTGTTTGTGTGTGCGGTACCCATGTGTGTATGTTTGCATGTGTATGGATGCATGTGCACGTGTGTGTAGAAGTCTGAAACTGACACCAGGCACCATCCTCAATGGCTCTCTGCTTTTTTTTTTTTTTTACATTGAGGCGGAGTCCCCTGATAAACTAAAGTCCACTAGTTCCAGCTGGTCTAACTTGCTAGTTGGGATTCCTGTCTCTGTCTCTCAGATGATGGGATTACAGGTCAAAAATCTACACTTACAACTATACATAAAGTCCCCTAGCTCTCTGGCCAGATTATCTGAACAAGGCAGTAACCCAAAGCACATAAGGCTGTGTGAGAGAGTACAGGGATCCCCTCTCAGCCCCTTTGAGACCAGAAGCAAGAGGTTTAGTGACATACCTGTAATCCAGCGCTTGGAAGCTGAGGTAGAGGAGTTGCTACAAGTTTAAGGCCCACCTATGTGGTCTTATTGAGTTCAAGGCCTGTCAGGACTTCTTGAGTTTTGTTAGATAAATAAATAAATGTAAAAGTAAAAAAAAATCAATAAGAGATTAACGTGTCGAATAAAAGAAGACCTCATGCTTAGAAACAGAGAACAACAGCTTCAGGGAACAAAGCCCAAGATTAGGAAAACACAATTTCCACAAGGGGAGAAAAAAAAAATCCCGAAAGAACACAGGAAGGGCCCAAATCCTCAGTAATGAAAAGTGGGGCCTGAGGGAGCTCGGAATGGAATGAGGTTTGAATTGGCACATACAGCTCTTCCTGAGGGCCACCTGGTTCTACTTATGCAAATCAGTGTCCACATACCTTGGGACCAGCACTTCCACCCAGGAGGCATCCCAGACACAGCCAGGAAGTGAGAGTGGAGTACATGAGCCGGGCAGGAATCCAGGAAACCTTAACAACCCCATTCAAGTCTGCGCACTACTGAACGGGCAGAAAGGCCTGGGGTGCTGTGGGAAGAGGGAGGGACTGGTAAATATTTTGGGTCCACAGGACACAGGGACAGGCAGGGCTGAGAAATGCTTCTGCCCAGTTCAGTCCAAAATGAGAAGCTTACTCGGACTCCTTTGAAGTAACCAGAGTGCGAAAAATGAGGAGGGGACAGCGGCAGACAGGGTTGTGGGTGAAAGAGTGAGACACAGACATAGCCACCGACTTACACTGGAACTTATACAGGGAGACACCGAGGAGAGAAAAGCCAGTCAGAGGAGCTTGAAGAAAGCCGCCGCCCCCCCCCCCCCCCGCCCCGTGTCTGTCTGTCTGTCTGTCTGTCTGTCTGTCTGTCTCCCCCTCACACCACTCTTGGATGTGTTAAACAGTGAGGCTGTGTGTACAGTAGCCTTTGGGGACACATGTTTCTTTTGTTAAGATTTATTTTTTGAACTCCTGGGTTTCTGTGTTTGTGCGCATGAGTGCAGAGCCAGAGGAAGACAAAGGCGTCAGATCCCTCTGGTCCTGGAGTTCCAGACAGTTGTGAGCCACCTCATGAGGGTCCTGGGAAGTGAACTTGGGTCCTCTGCAAGAGCTGAAAGGGTGCTTAATTTCGGAGCCATCTCTCCAGAGCCAGCAATTATTTTTTTTAAGATCTGAAGAAGTAGTGCAGAAAGTAGAGGAAGTATCAATTGTGAAGGGTTTTTTTTTAGATATAAAACTGCAACTTTGTCTCTTCGCTTCTTTTTTTTTCCTCTCTCTTTTTGAAACTCCTCAGGTTCCTGGCTTAGAGGATCCAGGACTGCAGTTTTGTGGCTACTTCTGGGGAAGGTCAAATGGTTAAATGAAGCTCTTTGGGCAGGAGAAAAAAAAGACGTTAATGAATTAGGTTAGTCACTGGCAGGATCTGCAGGAAGAGTTTGGTGGATGGGGACAGGCGGAAGCAGGACAGGGTGCACATGCTGCAAAAAGCCGTCCAGCTCCAGTACAAAGTGGAAGGGAGCTGGTCACACCCTTCTCTAAGCAGGACCTAATTTTGACCCAAAAATGAATCCAGACTCAGGTCCAGCTCGTGAGTGTCCCAGGTAGGAGGCACGAGCAGCGGAACTCCACAACCCCCCTTTTCCCTCCACCGCAATGACTCAGCATCCGGGGCGGGGCGCGGTGCCCCTTATAAGGTGAGCGTCCCGGAGGCCTGTGCTGGCTCCACACCCAAGATCCGTTACTGTCTACGCAGCTCGGAATTCGTGCCTCCGTCTACGTCTACGCAGCAGCCAGTGAGTACCCGCTGCCCGCTTCTGCAGACTACCAACATGCAGCTGGTCCTGGCCTGGGCTCCCTCGGGATTCAGAGCTCCCTACACGGAGCAGCTTGCACCAAGAGCCGGGCGAGGGAAGACTCTCAGGAGGTCTTGGGAGGCCCAGAGCAGGGAGGGAACCCAGAAGGTGGGGCAAGAGGGTGCACCACTCTGAACCCTAGTCACCCCGCTTCTCCCAACTAACATCCTTCTCCTGTGATCCCCAGTGCCGCCGTACACCATTGTCTACTTCCCAGTTCGAGGTAGGAACCAGGGACTGCAGAAAGGGGAGGGGGAGGGATTGCAGCCCACCGTTCCCATCCACCCTGGGGAAACTCCAGTTCATCTTTGACCCTTCTGGTTACAAGGCTGTGCCTCCTTCACCGTATCCACGCCCGCCCCCCACGTTGCTTGAGGCTGGCTCTATACACTGTCCCCAAACCCTTGCTTGCCCTGACTCTCTTTACAGGGCGCTGTGAGGCCATGCGCATACTCCTGGCTGACCAGGACCAGAGCTGGAAGGAGGAGGTGGTGTCCATAGATACTTGGATGAAAGGCGTGCTCAAGTCCACCTGTGTGAGTGGCACACCCGGCGGAGGGCCAGAGGTGGGGCCTTTGGAGGGCTGTAACTGGGAGACTGCAGCCTCACCAAGTGTTGCCCCCTCCCCCAGCTGTATGGGCAGCTCCCCAAGTTTCAGGATGGAGACCTTACCCTGTACCAATCTAATGCCATCTTGAGGCACCTGGGCCGATCCCTTGGTAAGTCCTGAACCTCAGGTGGTCCAGCCAGTGGGCAGGGTGTGGTGGGAGCATCGGTCGTGGTTTCAGGGTGTCTGCCCTCCCAGCCACTCCCATTTTATTCCAGATTAGACAGCAAAGCAGGGACACACAAAGATTTGTTTGTTCAAGCTGTGGTCCGCCTGTCCTCACTTCCTGTTGCCTCTCAGACCAGCAGACAGCCTGGGGGAAGGGGGCTGAAGTGGGGAAATCAGATGTCAGTCATATGCTGTCTTTCCCAACCTGCAGGGCTTTATGGAAAAGATCAGAAGGAGGCTGCCCTGGTGGATATGGTGAATGACGGGGTGGAAGACCTTCGCCTGAAATACATCACCCTCATCTACACCAAATATGTGAGCCTGGACCCCTCCCCCACACAGCGGGTGGTGTACAAGCAAAGGGGCTTTTTGCGCTTTTGGCTCCATCCTTTCCCTCCCTCTGCCAGGCTGGGTGAGGCAGGGCAGTATGAAGAGGAGCGGGAGGGGCTGGTGGTGGCAGATAGTAAGAGTATGTGTGCCCACAGTGTGTGGGTGTGTGCATAGGGGCAGAACCCGAGAGAGCTGGGGCAGTAGGCCAGGTCCTAAAGCCCTGGAACTGGATTGAAGCTGGTGGGGGGAGCGGTGCTGAAGAGTCTGTGGATGGGTCTAAAGGTGAAACACAGAATGATCCTCAGAGGTGCCCGCTGGAGAGTTTTACAATAATAAAGATAACAGATCTTAGATGGGAGAGTTAACACAACTGGCAACAGGCCTCAGCAGGAGGGCTACTCCAAGTTCAAGGCCAAGCCTGCTCTGCTGTCTGAGTTGTCCAGGCCAGCCTAGGGTATAGAGGGAGATCTTAGCAGGAATGCAATGGTAGAAAGGAGTGGGAAAGAATTAGCAGCCGAAGTGAACCAGACCAAGGTCATAGCCTGGGTGTGGGGTGCAGGCAGAGTGGCGGCTCATCTCCAGGCAACCCAAGAGGTAGTTAATGGCAGGGGCGCGTCCCTGGGGGTGGGGTCTATCGAGAAAGGGTAGCATTCATTACAGGGCAGCAGGATTCCAGTGCCCACTGCCCTGTGAGGGTGGGAGGATGGTCCAGCTTTGGGGGTCTCCCTGGCAGGAGGAAGGGAAGGATGACTATGTGAAGGCCCTGCCTGGACACCTGAAACCTTTCGAGACCCTGCTGTCCCAGAACCAAGGAGGCAAAGCCTTCATCGTGGGTGACCAGGTGAGCTGCTCCTTCATTGCCTTATAGATAAAGCCAGTTGTAAAATGGAGCAGAACCACCGGAGGAGGGGTGGGGTGGGGCGGGTCGGCTCTCTGCTCCCCAGCCTGCTCCCACCTGTTGATATCCGCACCCTCCACCCTTGCAGATCTCCTTCGCCGATTACAACTTGCTAGATCTGCTGCTGATCCACCAGGTCCTGGCCCCTGGCTGCCTGGACAGCTTCCCCCTGCTCAGTGCCTATGTGGCGCGCCTCAGTGCCCGGCCCAAGATCAAGGCCTTCCTGTCCTCCCCTGACCATGTGAACCGTCCCATCAATGGCAACGGCAAGCAGTAATGTAGGGAGAGACCGGAGCTGCCTGTCCTCCTTTCCCCAGCACTAATAAAGTTTGTAAGACAGAAGAGGTGCTGCAGGTGCTGTTTCCTGGGCAGGGGACTCCATTAGACTGGGAAAGGGCAGAGGAAGCTTGCACCCTAGGGTGGGACCAGGGCATATTCCTGCATAATGTTTGCTGATCTTTAAAACAGGAAAAAGGGAGAAATAGGAGGAGGGATAATGTAACCTCGTGCTGACTGGCCAGTCAGTCCCAGGAACAGGCAACAGAGTCCCTGACTGCAAGCCAGGGTCAGTTCCCTGGCCTGGGACAGGCTGAGGCATGTGACCCCCAAACTGGCCTGGGAGGGGTCACGGACTCTGCAGAGGGGCTTTGCTTGGCCTGTTGGTGGTGCGTGAGTTTTGTTGCACTCTGCACACATTTACAAGCCAAGGTGTGTTGGCAAGAGTTCTCAGGCGAAGTCAGAGACCAAGGAGAAGGTCAACTTGATCTCCAAACACTTCGAACCTTTTAGTGGTTTTTGTTTGTTTCAAGGCCTGAGAGTCTTAGCAGGAACAGAGCCCAGTGTGGTAGCTCGCACCAGTAGTCACAACTCAGGAGCAAGATAACCTTGAGTTCAAGGCCAGCCTGGGCTCAAACAGGGGTCAGTGTGTACGCGTGTGTGCTCATGCACGTGCAGAGGCAGGTGGGAGAGGGGAGTAACCTGCTCTATGGTTCTCAGCCTTCTCATGAGACAAGATCTCTCTAAATTAAAGCTCAGCTGGCTGCCAGCAAGCCCCTGTCTCTGCCACCCTCCCCACCCTGCACTGCAGTTACTGGGGATTCAACTCAGATCCTCATGTTCAGCAAGTGCTCTCATCCACGCAGCTATCTCCCCAGCTCCTGTACTGATCTGTATCCCAGCTGGCTTCTAGCTCCGTGTAACCAGGACTGACTTAAGCTCCCAGATTCCTGCCTCCACTTCCCAGTGCTGTGATACAGGGGTGGACCTCTGTGCTCAGACTGTTCATGCAGATTTCCCTTGGCCTCAGCATTCTGTACTTGGTGATAAAAAGGACATTTTCTCCTTTTTAGTCTTTGTTGTTGTTGTTGCTATAACATAACGACCAAGGGTAGGTACTTTGGAGATTGGTGCCGTACTCCAACTGTTGAGTCACTACTATGTTCTGACTCGTTTGAGACAGTGGTTTTCAGGCGGGGAGGTTCCAGTTGGAGTGTAATTGCAGACTCAGGATGACTCCGCATTTCCTTTGTTCTTATAAACATGCCAAAGATCCCAGAGCAAGGAAAAGTGCAATACTGTCACCAGACTCCTTAAAAAGAAGCACAACTGTCATGGGAATGACCTCACCAACCTATCATCAAACATCTGGTGTGGGCATCCAGGAACCAACTGGCAGAAAACCTCTGTGTCCCCTGAGCTCCATGGCCCCATCCCCACTGCCTGATGAGGTCCATTTGAGAAGTTTTCCATCCCCCCCTTCTGGACCCCGGGTCCTCACCTTGGGGATCCTGCATTTGGATAGCTGAGCCCTACTGTCCTCTTCAATGGGCTCTGTTAAGCCACCTGCTTGTCCCTCTGCGGCTGTGCTAGCTCTTAGCTAGTCCTTCAGTATTTCCTCTTTGAAGTTCATAGCCTCTAAGGAGCATTCTGAGAATTCATATTAATTAGGACAAAAAGGAAAGAGGCTATTGCCAACTGTCACAGGAATCTGGGATTGCCAGGTAATTCACAGCATGGACAACGCTGGGTATGAACCATTATCACCGGATGTAAGGATGTAACGGCTGTCCGAATTACTCTGGGTACAGTTCGCGCCACTCTACTGTATGCAAGCCAGGCAAGGGCCTGGAGATTGAAAGAACACACAAGAGACCTAGGTCATTCGAAAGGAGATCAGCCAAATGCCATTTATTCAAGTTTAGGAAAATCCTTCTGTACCTAGCCGCTGCACAGGGATTTCCCCTCAGGCAGGTGGGACATTGCCACACCCAAGATGGAGTAAACATTGCCCTAAAGCTAATCACCAAGCCCGGCAGAGGGAGCATGGGAACAAACAGGAAACGCTGGCTGGCCAGAAACTGTTCTCAAAATGATCCCTGGGAGCAGGGGTAGACCCATGGGCCCTACAACTGGATACACTCTAACGCCTTGAAGAAACTCACATCTGCCTACAGGAAAGAGGCTTGTTTCTTTATTTGATACACTTTAACACTAAAAGAACACACATCCATCTACAGGAAAGAGGCTTGTTTGGGCTCAGAGTTCTGGAGTTGGGAAAACAGTATCTGACTTCTCTCAGCTTCCAGCAAAGAAGGTGTACACCCGAGGAAGGACACTAGTTTCATGGGAGTCCAGAAAACTAATCCCCACAGAAAAAGCATTCCTGAAGGGTCTGTCCCAACACCTCTTACTGGCCCCAGTATTTATTTCCTTTTCTTTTTCTTCTTTATTTTTTATTTTTATTTATTTATTTATTTTTCAAGACAGGGTTTCTGTGTAGCCCGGACTGACCTGGAGCTCTCTGTAGACCATGTTGGCTTCAAACTCAGAGATTTTCCTGTCTCTGCCTTCTGAGTGCTGGGATTAAAGATGTGCCACCACTAACCTGCTATTTCCCGATACCGTCATATTGGCAATTGAATGTGACTGTGAGTTTTAGTGGGAGAAACCACATGAAGCCACATAGTCTTCCATAAAGGGATTTCATGAACTTTTCTTTTCTTTCTTTCTTTCTTTCCTTTCTTTTTTATTTATTTATTTATTTTTTAAAGATTTACCTTTATTTTATGTGTAGGAGTATTTTCTCAAGTGCTGGTGCCCATGGAGGCCAGCAGAGGGTGATGGCTCTCCTAGAAATGGAGGTACAGGTAGTAGAGCTGTCCCATGGTGCTGGAACTGAACCTGTATAGAAAAGCAGCCAGTGCTCTAAGCCGCCTCTCCAGATCCTTAAAATGATTGTAGCGCAAAATAGTCAACGGGCCTGAGTTGTGTCTGGGGATAGCACATGCAAAGCTCCTTTATCCCCTGTGCAAATTTTCCTCAGAAATCTCACGTATTAAAAGCTGAATGGTGCTGGTGGTGGTGGTGCAGCATGCCTATAATCAAGCACTTGGGTAGCAGAGGCAGGTGGATCTCCGAGTTCAAGACCAGCCTGGCCTACATAATAAGTTCCAGGACAGCCAGAGCCACACAGAGAGACCCTGTCTCAACAAAACAAACAAAAGCCAATGACAAAAAGCTGAGCTGTGCTGAAGGGAGGGCAGAGTCTGGTAAGGTGGAGAAGCATGAGGATGAGCAAGCACTGAGCGGAAGGGAGCTCTGGCAAAGTGATCGCTCCTCCCTGGGAGCTGGTCGGTCCTACGGAGCTCCATCCCTCACTCCTGGGACCTGATAGGACCTATGGAGCTCTGGGAAAGCGATCTCTGCTCCCTGAGAGCTGGTCGGTCCTATGGAGCTACCCCCCCTTACCCCTGGGATCTGGTCCATCCTACTAAGCTGAACTTCTTATGAGAAGGCGAGTGTTTACTTTGTCCCTCCAAACATATGGATCAGAGAATGGAGACAGTGTGAGCACTTGGCTCCACACCCATGAGGACCAGAATTTGGATCTCAGCTGTAAGGAAGTGAGCCAGGCATGACCTATATGCACTTATAACCCTAGTTAGAGAGGGCTTGAGGTCAGGAGGATTGCTGTGGCTCTCTGGTTTCCAGCCTAGCCTAAGAACTCCGAACTCTAGCTTCAGGGAGAGACCCTGCCTCAAAGGAATAGAGTGACGGAAGAGGAAGCATAATGCCCCTTTTCTGGCCTGTTTGTGAACACAGGCTCCCGTCCTCAGATACATTTGTGTACAGACACACACACTTTTCTAAAAAAAATTATTTGTTTTAGTTTTCAACACAGGGCTTCTCTGTGTAACCCTGGATGCCCTGGAACTAGCTCTGTAGACCAGGCTGTCCTCAAACTCACTGAACGCTGCCTGCCTCTGCCTCCTCAATGCTGGGATTAAAGCCTTGCACCACCACCGCTCTGTGATTTACTCATTTTTATTGTATGTGCACTGGTGTTTTGCCTGCATATGTATGTGAGGATGTTAGACATCCTGGAACTGGAGTTACAGAGAGTTGTGACCCACCACGTGGGTGCTGGGAATTATGTATGTCCTCTAGAAGAGCAGCCAGTGCTCTTAACCACTGAGCCATCCCTCCAACCCTACTTATTTTATATGTATGGGTGTTTAGCCATATGTATGTCTGTGGAAACCAGAACAGGGCATTGGATTTCCTGGATCTGTCGTTTAGGATGGTTGTGAGCTGCCATGTGAATGTTGAGAATTGAACCCAAGTCTCCAGCTCCTGTACATAAGTAAATAAAATAAAATTTTAAAATTCAGACTACTTCAAATAGAAGAACGAGGTTACATTACATTTTTCTTTTCATTTTTCTTTTTTGTTTTAATTATATTTGACTTAGGACTGCAGAAATAGTTTGATAGTTAAGAGTACTGGTCCCAACTTCTGGGACTACAGATGTGTGTCAGCCACAAGCTGCTAGGAAAGCTCTTTCCTATGTCGGGGAGGAGGCAAAGGCATTCCTGAGGCAGATGCAGAAGACACAGTTCCCCCTATCTAAGAGGTCATCTCAAAGGCAGCCCAAGAAAGCAAACACCATGTTACCACATGCCACAAAAACACCATTTGGGAGACTGAAAGTGTCCAAGTCAGGGGTGGGTCAATTTCCAGCACCAGATGGGTGTAGGAGGAGCCAGTGAAGACAAAGATGAGATGGGCGTAGGAGCCAGTGAAGCCTGAGCCTGGCCCTTCAGACCGGGGCATTGCCTCATGACAAGCTCCCCAGAGACTTGCCATAGGTGAATATATTATCCCTGGACCCAGGTTGTTCTGCTGGCCATATGACCTGGGCCAACTACTTCTCCTCTTTGAACGACAGCTCTACGTGTGAAATAAGGGAAACAGAAACCCACTCCCATTCATTTTATTGGTGGACCACAGCAAAACTTGTCCACACAGATGGAGGCCAGGCAAGAAGCCCAGCTTTTTAGTCTATTGT